TGTGTGTGTGTGTGTGTGTGTGTGTGTGTGTGTGTGTGTGTGTGTGTGTGTGTTATGCATGCTAATACACCAGCTAAATAATTAGTCAAAAGCATTGTACAAAGAGGAAAAAGGCAGAATTACAGTATTTTGGATCCTCCATGAGGACATTAGTGGAATTTAGCATAAAGCATCAAAAACACATCTGTCCACATCTAGTTCTCAAAATATATCAAAACTTTTTGCCATATGGAATGATGTGTGCAAAGATGGACAACGAAATTTTGTGAACAAAATTGTCCAAGCCGTGAAAACAAAATCTGGCTGTTATTTTCGAACAGAAATACGTCAGATAATCCTAACTCGTGATACATGCAGACCCAGAATCATTTGTCACTGTACTCAGCATTTTAACTTCTTTCTTTTACATAGTTCCCAAAATTTTGTTTGAATGAAAAAGGTTTTATGTTGCTGTGTAAAGGAAAAACAGGGTCTGAGAGATCTTGTGCTCAGGAGTCTGAATTGTTATTTACCAATTTATAATCGCACAACAGCCTTTTAAATGTCTGAAGATTCACACACAGGTAGCTCTAAACAAACAGTAACGTCAAGTGTGTGTGTGTGTGTGTGTGTGTGTCTGTGTGAAGGGGGCCAGAGTTTGAAAGCCTGCCAGAATCAGCTGTTAGTGGTGGAAATGGGTTAAATTTGAGTTTTTAATGGGCTGAAACAGAGTAAAGACACGCACAGCTCTATCCAGGTCAGCAGAAATCACTATTCAGCAACATCAGGCTCCTGTTTTTGAACCTTCAACCTCCTGCATCCCTGCTTACAGTCACCTCATGGCTTTCTCTCTTTCTTTAAATGAGCTGTGTTTGATTTCTCACCATCAGGTTGCTCAGGTCGATTTCTGCCCCGCTCCGCATTGGAGAGTCATGAGTCGACATGATGGCGAGGAGCTCAACCAGCCGCTATCCGGCGGTCAGAGAGCCTGAAACGGCCTCTGCTGTCACGACGGTCCGTGTGGGTCCCCCCTCTGCTGCTCGAGTCCCCCCACCTCCTTCGTCTGTCTCTCTGGAGCCTGCTAGAATAATCAGTCGGTCCCCTTCAGGTCAGGGAGAGTCGGGGCGGGAAAGGCGCGCGGCTTCAGAGCGCGCGGAGGTTGGAGAGCGTCACTTTCAGCTCCATGTCTGCAGGATGAGGAAGGTGTAGCACAGCTGTGGATGGAACGTTTCTCCTGCTGCTCTCACAGCCCGGCTGTAAATATGAGGGAGATGGCAACAAGACACGCCCACAAGTAGGCGGGGCTTCAGTGTGGCAACTGCACCCTCTGCCACAAAACTAAACTTTACCTTTTCCATCCAGGTTTCTTGTCTGCGTGCATCAGTGGCGGATCTAGGTTTTTTTTTTTTTTTATGATGGGCCATTAAGGGGCCACAATATTTTTAGAGGAGCCAAGTATTTATTTAACATCTTTCAATCAATCAATCTCTTTATTTAGACACAATTATGGTCCATAAAAACAGACAAAACAAGAACAACAAAAAAGAAGAAAAATAAAAATATATATAATGAAATAATCAATCACTGACATATAAACATAAAGCGCCAATGATTCCACAAACTGGAGAAGAATCTCACTGAGCTTTGAACAGGATTGGTCAAAGTCTGAATGATGCTGTTTGCAGAGTCTGTTAATCTACACATACATCTGTGCATGATGTTTGGAAGCACAACAGCACAGGTTGGTACATTGACATTCACAAACATCTGACTGGCACTACACCATCGGGCAGTGTTGCCAGGTGGGAAATGTTGAATTATCGTATCAGC